ATGAGATTATCTCAATAAAGCGCTTATATAATGTCTTGGGTTCAATTAAAATATAGAGCCGAATTCGTATCTAGTAACGCCACTGGGTTGATAAGGCATCCGGAATTTTCTGACAGTTTCAATTCAATGCTTCTTTGTTTTTCAGGTCATTGTTGACTGGTGCGGCAAACTCCGTCCTTATGCTTCGTTGGGAATCAGACGAATCCCCGTCCTCATTACTATCGGTCTTATTTCCTGCGGCTCGATCATTTTATTTGGCGATCCTACCGCTCGTGAGCAAGCCTTGATCCAGGCATTAGGAACTAGTACTACCAGAGACCTGACTACTGAGTTAACTCATTCCCCACTGGACGATGGTGGAGGGATCATTATGATTGGATTGACGACATCCGGCGAGCTGTGTTGTCTTAATACCTCTGGCTTAACTGTGCCACTCACGCCTGCTATACTCACCAGGCAAGGCCTAACACTGACTTTAACTATGATCTGGTATAAAAGAATATGCTATCCACTTAGTTTTTATTTAGCCATGCTTTCAGGAATCGGGTCTATCTCTCACAGAAGACTTGGAAAACTTTTCTAATCTTTAGCTAGTCAGAATACGTTGAAAAATATATAGTTGGATGGGTTCTTGCCAAAACGAGACACGTATAAGATTAAAGTGATTAATTTTTTATGGCTTTGTATTCCACTTACTCTTTGGAATGATTAATCCACTTGGGAGCACATATGTGTAGTCAAAAACGTTTTAGCAGGTTAGTATTAGATACGCGATTTCTTTTATCTAGACCTATAGAAGAACGGGTTTTGATATGGAAAATGGAGAATTATTCAATAGTACACTGTTCTAATGGAGGGGATAGTCTGTTACCAGGGCAATAATTAAACACAAAATTGTTTAAGAGATTTTCCTATTCGTGCCATTTAATAGTTGTTTTTAAGTCCTAAGAAGGCGCTTATCTCTAAACATAAATTTGAAATATTTGGGACTCTAACCAGGCAATTTTTCGATGGTTGAAAACTTAACAGAGATCGCTGTACATATTACGCTGGTTCGAGACCTCCCTAAACTAACGATTAAGTTGCTAAAGAAAAGTCATTTTAGATATGGTTTTATGTTGGAAATATTTCTTATAAAATTGACCTATCGTTACCAGAACTAACTTTCTGAGCGTAAAATCCATTTGCATTTATTTTAATATGAATTCCTGGGCATATCACTGCTATGTACTGATTTAAACTCTTGTTCCGCTATTCTCTACGTAGTAAATAATTTTTATTTTGGAAATTTAAAGAAAAATATGTAGGAAATGGATATTTTATTTGATGTTATCTTTTGTTTCTCTTTATATTAGATTATATTTATTAAGTATTGGTTCGACTTCGTTTTACCAACTTGATAGAAACGTCAGAAAGACGTGGAATGTATCTAGTCCTTTGTCCTCATAGTATTCGTGGTTTCCAGTATCGGACCATTGACTTGGTACATTCCCAAATGTTTCACCGGCATTGTCATTGAGAAGCGTTAGCACGGAATTACAACTTATCAAAATGACAAGCAAAGTGAGTGAAGTGCCCAATTTTCTGTTCAACCGTTGTGGTATCATTCCTTGAACTTATTTTTTGTTCTATCTTCTAGTAGTGCATCTCTTTCTCTCAACTCCACTTCATGTGTTATCGACCTATTCTCACAATTCTGTGTTCTCGTTTCCTCCACTGTCGCCTAAGAATGCGTATCAACAAGCCGGTTTGGTGAAGCATAATCATCTCCAAAACCGGTACCAGGTGCCGTTCACAAAGCTCATAACCTTAATTATTTTTCCTACCCCGTTTGTCTATTCGTCGCTGTTAAGCATCAAATCACTATCTGACTGCCTAAAAGCCTTCAGTTCTCGTCCCCTATTCCGCTCTATATAGAGCAGATGATGCCCATGAACATACCAGTGCCTGGGAATTTTCTTTTCTCTAGGTTTCAAACACACGATTCGATTATCCTTTTCTTAATCCTCACCCACATTGTGTCTCATTTCTTGGGGCTCTGTGTCCGGCCTAAGTCATAACTGCTGGTTTGAAATTGCACCGTTTTCATTTTTCTTCTGCATCGCAAATAGCACACTTCTCGTTCTCCAAGTTGACATTTAATCTTATGGTACTAGGGTGTTCATGTGTTTTTGCTCGTATCCCTCGTGGTCAAGCATATCACCAGATACTTCCCCTTAGGCACATACACGAAAAATACACACATGCGCACATTAGTGTCTTATATCTGGTCCATTTACACCTTTAGCCCCCCCTAGTAAGTAAATTTTTGGTCAATTTCAGTTTTGACTCCTCTCATTGCAATCACCTTCTTGGCTATGTTTAATAGCTGTCCTGGGTCCAAGTGTCTTCCTGATGATATCCTCGTTGTATCTCCAAGTATTCCAAGGCAGTGACCGAAATTATCGCTGACTTCCCTTTTTCCATCTCTAGTTCATCAAGTTTCTCTAGAAGAGGATGTCCATTATTTGTTTTATCTTTCCCCCATATAAGGCTAGTTTTTCTGTTGCACTCCAATTACTTCTTTGGCTGGTAAGGGCGATGCGCTCAGCTATCTCTGATCTTTCCGTATCCATTTTTCGGCATAGTCGCTGGTGCTCTTTGATCCTTATGCTGATTGTCTTTCCCGTCTCCGATGTATTTTTCTTCACAGTCCTTGCAGTTTATGTATCAAACTCCGGAGCACTCCATTTTGATGACTTCTTAATGCTGGGTGGATAAACTGGTTTACAAGGTTGTCCTTTTTTCAGGATTGTACGAATGTTCAATTTTTATAGTATCGGCCTCAGAATCTGGTCCAATTTACAGAATGGTAAACATAACAATCGTTTTTCCTCTGTTCCTCTTGCTTTCCTTTCATACTCTCCGTCCTATTTGTTCACCACCATCCGTATGTTGCGTTGTATTGCTTCTTCTGGATATCCGTTACCAAGAGACATCTGAGTTACTTTTTTTTTGTTCTTCTCAGAATCAGTGAGTCATAGGTTTTCTATAGCCATACTCCGGAATATTCCAATCTTCATTCCATAAGTATGTTTTAGCTGGAATTTAAGAGTTATTCCAGCATTCGATTTCTTTTAGAAAAGTCGTTTTTTGAGAGTTACCTCGGAACGAATGACCTTCACATCCAGGAAAGGTAAGTGTCCGTTCTTTTCCACATCATTGGTAAATTTAACTTTCTCATCTATTTCGTTTATGAACATCAGAAATTTCTATTTTTTATTCCATGCTACCAGATACTGAAGTTGTCATTCAAAATGTCGTATAATTACTATTCGCTGCTGAAGTGACATTTTAAATTTTTGTCCCACTTCCATTCAGACATTAGCCAGCAGAGGTTAGAGTGGCTGATATTTGCTCAGCTGCGGCCGTTGAACCTGAAATAGATGGTTTTTGTTGTTAGGTTGATTAATCGGATTAGAGACTTTACGAATTCGCTCCGTCTTCTAGACATCTTCTTTTTCCAAGCTCTCCAAGTGCCGTGAGTGCATTTTATCCTGTGATCTTAGTGTACCTGGACTACATTAAAGTTCATCAAAAGTTCGTTTTCTTCCAAATTAATGCTTTTGATTCTTTGACGAAATTCGTATTAGTTCTTCCCCCTCATTCGATAATCTGTTATTCACTTTCCTTTAATTTGGGGAAGATAAATTTTGCCAGTTAATGTGTTGGTCCTTATTTGTTGCTGACTATCAATCTCCGTGGTGTAACATCGACAAACCGGAGACTCTTGCATACTTTTTATGAGTGAAGTACTTGTCTATTTGATGATTTCCCCGTTCATATTCATTTCC